TCAATGTCCCTTTGTCACCCCTTCTTCTCATCCCTAGGCGACCACTAATCTACTTTCTCTACCTATTTGCCTATTCTGGACAACTCACATAGATGGGATCATACAATAAGAAGTCCTTTGTGACTCCCTTCTTTCATTTAAGAATAAAATTTTCAAGCCAGGCACAGTGATGCTCACTTGCAATCTCAGCTACTCAGGAGGCTGAGGCAGGAGGATCATAAGTTTGAGGTCAGCCTTAGCAATTTAGCAAGACCCTGTCTCAAAATAAAAATTAAAAAGGGCTAGAGATGTAACTCAGTTGTACAGCACCCCTGGGTTAAATCCCTAGTATACCACTCTTGCCAACACAAAGAATAAAATTTTTGAGATTCAGCCACATTGTGCCCACGGCTCATTAACTTTTATAGCCAAATAATATAACAGTGTGTGGAAATGCCATATTTTCTTTATCATTTATCAGTTAATGAACATTTAGATTGTTTTCACCTTTTGGCTATTGCAAAAAATGCTGCTATAGACATTTGTGTGTAAGTTTTGAGTGGACATGTATATCATTTTTCTCAGGTATGTACACATAGGAGTGGAACTCCTGGATCATATGGTTACTGTAACCACATAAGAAACTGCAAAAAAGTTATCTAGAGTAGTTTGCTCCCTTTTATATTCCCATCCATTAAAAAGTTCTAGCTTTTAAATCATAACAATCATATCATGAACTCTTTAATTTTTGATTATAGGTAAGTGAAGAAAAAAACTCAAATGTTGATAAATATAGTTTATCTACCATTATATGAAACCCAGATTCAGTGTTCAGAACAAAAAGATAGCTTCAAATTACTATTTTTAAAAGGGCTATAATATAGTAAATATTCTCTTTATTATTTACATCATATCAAAATATTATACATGCGATAAATGTCAAACACTTAAAATTTGGGGGAAATCTTAAGAAATAAACTAAAAAGGACAAAATGAATTTTTACTAAGTGACATCTATATAACGTCATTCATTAGAAGGGGAAATTATTTTTAAGATATAAAAGTGACATATGTTCAACAGGGCAAAGCAAATATAGTATACAGATTTAGAACAGAACACAGGAGCTAGCATCTATAACCATTCAGTAAAGATAATAAAGATCTATTGCCCAAATGGATTAGTGGTAAGCAATTTGAAGACCAACAACTTTATAAACTATGTAGAAAACTGTACATTCTGGATGGCAAGGGCCCTGATTCTATTTACTAGATATGCAACCTATACTGGAAGGCTGGGAAAAGTCTGTGTCTATGACTAGTTAAGTGCAAAGGGAGATTAAAGAAGAATCTAGCCAAGCATCACTAACTCCCATGAGTGTTTCTGTCGAGGAGAGAGTCCAGAATTGGAGGAACAGCATCAAGTAGACAAGAGGCTAGGAGGAAGTATGAGTAGGAACACAAAGAGAAAGTAAAGATCCTGCAGATGGTCAATTTCCATATATAAAATGGTAATAGTATTTATGTCCCAAGACCATCTTCCTGCATACTTAAATCATCTCTAGATGACTATAATACCTAGCACAATATAAATGCTATGTAAATAGTTGTATTGTTTAGCGAATAATGACCAAAAAAAGTCTGTACACATTTTCATTACAGATACAATTTATTTTTCTGACTATAGGCTGACTATATAGTCTTTCTAGTTCTGCTATTACAAAGACTTTATTCCAAGGAAATAATCAGATACTAAAAGCAAGTTTTATGCTCAGAACTGTCACAGAAGTATCATTTATAAAAGTAGTGAAAACTAGAAACAATATCAATATATATCAAATTTTGACTAGTTAAATAAGTTATACTAATGAAATGCTATGTAGTCTTTTTTTTTTAAAGAGAGAGGAGAGAGAATTTTTTAATATTTATTTTTCAGTTTTTGATGGACACAACATCTTTATTTTTTATTTTTATGTGGTACTGAGGATTGAACCCAGCGCCCTGCACATGCCAAAGGAGCGCATTACCGCTTGAGCCACATTCCCCAGCCTGCTATGTAGTCTTTAACAATATTGTCATGACATAGTTATATAGCCCCAATGGGAAGTCAAGTCATAAAACAATTCAAAAATAGGATTTTTTGTTCAGAAACTTTTTTTTAATATGTGTAAAAATCTTTTCACTAGGTAATCTTTGTTTTCTTCTTCAATATACCTGAATTTGTACTTTGCAATCAACTTGAATTACTTCTGTAAAAGATGATGGTATTTTTAAAACAAAAAGGTAAACAATCTTAACAACATTAAAAGCTCATGTACATAGATTACGGAGATACCTATAATGCCAAGATAAATAAGGTAAAAAAAAATGGGCATTTTAAAGAGAAAAACAATACTAAGTATATAAAATTTTGATCTATTTACATAAGACTGAAAAATATTAATAACCTTAAGCCTAGTTATTCCACTCAGGAAATAATCCTATAGATGTTATGTAAAACGATGTTTATGGCTGCATCAATTGTAAGAGTGAAAAAATAGAAACAACATCTAACAAAGAGGAATGCCAGAAGAAATTAGGATGTATCTAACGATATATAATGCATTCAGCACAGTGAAAAGCTGCTATGATATAAATTAAATGAGTTTAAGTTTAAAAAATTATTGACAGTCTGATTAAAATGGTATACAAACAAAACCAAACCTGTGGCTGAAAAGTCTGGTGGGAAGTACACTAAAATGATTGTGGAATAATGAAGCAAAAACATTTAAATACTTACGAAGTTTCCCATAGCTTTTTTATAAAAATGCATTATTTTTTCAAGTCAAAATGAAAAAGAATAAATTAATAACAAATAACATAAGTACAACTTTACTAATACGGCTTGATCACTGAAGAATATTAGCTTTGATACTACAGTAATTATTATATAGAATAAATAAATGATTTAAAGTTTTAATCTAAAACGAAGAGGTCAAAAGAATTAATTAGGTTTGGACTTGTCACAAATATCTTTATAAAACAAAAGGATATATGAAAATATTTTAAAAGAGTATATAGAAAAAAGAATATTTCCATAAATTAAATTTTCTGCATTTTCAGCAAACTATCAATTTTAATATACAAGAGCACAACATTTAGTATTTACAACAAATATACAAATAATTCTTCCTAATTTCCTTTTTATTATAAAAATTAAGCTAGAAATATTTTGCTTGGTTAATTATCCAATTAAAAAATTGAAAATACAGCCATACACACAGAAATGTAGACAGACCAAGTACAATGTAATAGTTAAAAAGACATATAGTACTTTGGAATTCAAACTAACAAGGTCAAGACAGAAACAGACCATTATTAGTCACTGACAGCTTACGACTGACAATGGTGCAGCTGAATTTAGCTCAACTTGGTTAAACGGTGTTTAATATCATCTCTGGTAGTTATTTGGTAAAACAAATGGAAACGTGTGTAAGGTAAACTCAGACCATACTCACTGTCCTTTAAAAATTCTTCTATAAAAGATGATTGTGACAAAAGTCGCTGAATCTTTTTAAAAAAATGATACTTAATTGTACGCTTTTCCCCCCTGATAAACATGTAATTAATTTTTAGATTTTTTAAACTGGTTCTTTTTAGTTATAAATGACAGTAGAATTCATTTTTAAGTTTTTAAAAGAACTATAAGAATAAAAATCTGTCCCAATTAGAGACTGCTTGGGATGTCATTCTCACAGGGCAATCTGAATTGAGTCAGGCTGCAATCCAACTCTGCTGAAAATACAGTTTATGGATTTTTGCATAAATTTAATCATTTCTCTGGTCTGAGTTTCCTTGCCTAAAAAAATGTGGATAATGTTGCCTGACTCAGAACATTACCCTTTTCCTTTACGAAATTCAATATCATTTACTTCAAATATAAAAAAGGCAAAAAAGAGAGTGAACTATGACTATATTTAAGGTCCAAATATAGAATTTGAATTATGACTCTATACCACCTTTTCTCTGAAAAAACAAAACAAAACAAAACAAATAATAAACAAATACACTTTCCAAGAATTGTGATATTTTCATTTTTCCAGAAAATGAGTGATAACCACTCCTTAGGAAGTAAACACAGAACAAACTCATTTAACCTGAGTTAAAACATAATAATTAGAGTGGAAAGAGGTGAAAACATAGTCAGTACTTCATGTATTGTGATTTTTTGCACTACAGAAAGTTTAAAAATGTTATCAGAGCCAGGCACAGTGGCACACACCTGTAATCCCATTGATGAGGAGGTTGAGGCAGGAGGATAGCAAGTTCAAAGCTAGCCTCAGTAACTCAGCAAGATCCTGTCTCTAAATAAAATACAAAAAAGGGCTGGGGATGTGGCTCAGTGGCTGAGTACTCCTGAGTTCAATCCCTGGCACTACCACCCCCCACCAATCATAAATTCCCAGAAACAAACACAGCAAAAAGTATTCAGACACTAAATTTTGTTGTTTTATTCTACTCCTTGGAGGTAGGGAGGAATAAAACCTGTATCTCCCAAATTCCCCCAGCCCCTAAAGGTAAATAATTTTTATTCTGAAAACCATAGAAATCCAAGAAGAACTGTACTTGTATAGATGTCAATAATGTCCTTTCAAAATGTCTATAATGTGAGTGTCTTTATTCTTTAAGAGGCAGGACTGGAGAGTTAGAGGCCGGAGATATACCTGGATTAGAATCCCATCTTGGCTATTTAAGTCAGAGGGGCTCAGGGAAAATGTAGACCCACTGGTTAGGTAACACAAAAATTATTCCCAACCCTCTTATCCCCCGTGACACTCCACAGTGAAAAAGTCAATGAAAACAAATTTTTTTTTAATTACAAAAAGTTAAATGCTGTATTTTAGAGTTTTCCCTGCACCTAGAGAGGGGGCATGTTATACATATCTAACCAGAGAAATTTGGAAAGGTTTCTAATAAAGTTTTTGTTTCCCTGACAACAGAGACAAACAAGCTGACCCTGAGTTCTTCATTCTTTCTCCCTCTAGGCTGTCCACCTATAGTACCAACAACCTTAAGGTACCTGTGACCCAAGAAGCATGAAGCCTGATGCTGATGCTGAAGCATGAAGCACTGAGGGAGTCAAGTTGTTGAGGCAACCCCAGAAGCTGCCAACATCCTGGATTGTTACGCAAGAAAAATAAGTCTCTTAATGTTTAAGCCACAATCCATCAAGATTTCTGCTATTTGCAATTGTCACAAGTCTAAATAATCTGGAAAGTCACCTAAATTCGCTAAGGCTCACTTCCCTCATCTATTAAGTAGGTGCAATGATACTAAGATACATGAACAAAGGGGAAAAAAATGTGACACACAGAAAAGGCTCAATCATGCCAGCTGTTTCAATGGTGATAGCCTTATTTAATCCTCACACCAACCACCAAGGGAAAGCACTATCATTTTATCGATCCTTAAAGAAAAGAAAGTTGAGACTCCAAGAATTAAGCAACTTGCTCAGGATCACACAGTTAATAAGGAGTAGAGCCAGGATTCAAATTTAGAAATCTTTATTCTGGGACTAATGCTTAGAAAAGTGACTAAACACAATAAGAATTGACATTATTGGCTATAATGATTATGACAATATGAACAACAACAATAAGAACTGGCAGGAAATTTCCTTTCAATTTTGGAAAATAGTAAATTCCCATTGAATTCAATATGAATTTTACTTTCCTTCTTAAAATTAAGAATGTTTTCATTTCTTCCCTGAAACAGGAATACTCAAGCCTCTTCATCAAAAGTAATTTTGTTCCTTTTTAACATCAAAGGAACATTAAAAACAGTATATCTCAACCAATATTTGAAATACTCTACTATTAGCAAAATGATTTTGCGAATCCTGTCTATCCAGAAAGTAAACAATTTGGCTGGAGGTATTATCACTGGTAGAGTGCACACTTAGCATGTGCCAGTCCTGGGTTCAATCCTCAGCACTTAAAAAAAAAAATGTGAGTAATAAACACTGTGAATTTACACTCTATATGGTATTATGCCAGATATTTAAAGATTATTTTTCCCCAAAGATTTAGCATATGTTGGTTTTCTTAAAGTGACTAAAGATCCCTCTAGAGGGAGAATTCCTTCAGAGTGCTACAAATTAGGAAGTTGCTGTTGCTGTTATTAGTCATCAACACCATTATGAACTACCACTACTAACAAATATAAAACTTATCTCACAAACCAGAATATGCTAAGCTTTGCTTTTAGAACATTTTTCTTCAAGCTTCAGATGTTTCCTTCAGTAAAGTAAGGAGACAAAGAACTTTTTAAAAAGTCATGCTCAAGGCACAGTATTCAAAACACAAAGATAAATTCAGAATTTAAGTTTCTAAATAAATTACATTCAGGAATTGGGTAGGCTAAAATATTTGCAAGAGCAACTAGAAAATGATATTTAGTTTCTGAAGCAGATTTTGAGATTTCAAGAGTTATGTTTAGCTGTTAATTTTCCAAATAGTCTGAAATATTGTCTTTTTAGTAAATAAGAAAATAAATGTCATGTAAAGGCTTACAAAATGAATGTTGAGTAAAACCGAAATTTTGAGACCAGGTTAGCTCAAGTAAAAATGTTAAGTCTCAAAATATGTACATTTACAGCAATATATTTTGGAAGCCAAATAATTTCAAATCATATATTCCACATTGAAGAAGCTATATCTTTGTTCATTATTTATCACAGTAAAGAGTTGATACTGTGATTTTCATAAGAATGCAGTATATAAAAGAAAATGCTTTCAAGGAAAATATATCAAGGAAACATTCATTTGCTTAATAAATTCAAATATGACAGAGGCAGTAGCGCAAAATCCACATGAACATTATAATATGCTCAATCAGTACTAATTAAGGACCTAATTATACCTACTTAATATCTAATTTGCATTTTAAAAAGGAACACAAAGTATTCTATTTTAGCTCCAAAATTAAAGTTCTCCAAAATTAAAACTTTAAAAGAAACCTAAATTTCTTTTATATTTATGGAAAAAATATTTTCTTAAAATTTAGAAAAAGCTGAGAACAAAGCACATTTTCAAGTACTGGGCTATGTTGAACCTGAATGATTTCTTACTCACTAAATGAAAAAAAAAATAGATATATAGACATGGAGACGTTCATAAGTTTCATTTATAGGCACATAAAATGTTTTCAATTATTAAAATTATGTAGTTTTTAAAATGAGAAAACACTAGAACAATCCTTTCAGAACAATTATTATCATTATATTGGTAGTACTGGGGATTGAACCCAGGTCCTCATGTATTTACATGCTTTACCACTGAGCTACACCTCAGCCCCTTTTAAGAAAAATCCCATTGGCTAAATTGGCCTAGGGTTTAGATTCCCAAGTAAAGAACTTTTCCTGTACAACATGATAAATGCAGGATTAGAAACAAGGCCTCTTATGAATTCTAGATAGGGAAGAGGGGTGGGAGGGAAAGGGAGGGGGCAGAGGATTAGCAAGTATGGTGGAATGTGATGAACATCATTATCCAAAGTAAGTGTATGAAGATATGAACTGGGTGTCAACATACTTTATATACAAACAGAGATATGAAAAATTGTGGTATATATGTGTAATAATAATTGTAATGCAAAAAAACCCACCAAAGTACACGTATAAAGACATGAATTGGCGTGAACATACTTTATATACAAACATGAAAAACTATGCTACATGTATAATAAGAATTATAATTATAATGCATTCGCTGTCGTGTATCTAAAAAAATAAAATCAATTAAAAAAATAAATAGTTTATGTCAAAAAAATTTTAAAAAAGAAAGAAAAAAAAAAACAAGGCCTCTTGCCCTCTGCTCTCATTTTCTTTGTGATACTTGCCTTGCTTATCTTCCTGGCACATGCCTCAAACTACTTCTGTTAGTTAGCTTACCTTTACTGTAACAAATATTTAAGATAAATAAACTTAAAAAGAGGAAAAGTTTACAAAAGCCAAATGTTTTCTCTGATAGGCCAATGCATACATAGTTGAGTGGGAAGATAGGGAAGAATGAAGGAACATTGGACTGTGCAGAGGAAAGTGAGGGGAGAGGTGGGGTTGTGGGCTGGGAAGGACGATATAATGAGACAGACATTATTACCCTCTATATGTATATGATTACACCACTGGAATGACTCAGCACCACATACAGCCAGAAGAAGAAGTTGTGCTCCATTTGTGTACAATATGTCAAAATGCATTCGATTGTAAAATAAATAAATAAATAATAAAGAGGAACAGTTTATTTTGGCTCACAGCTACAGAAGTTTCATGGTCCTGTTGCTTGGGTCTGTGGCAAGATTTTCATCATGATAGGAGCATGTGGTGAAAGAAACTGCTCACCTCATGGTGGCTGGCAACCAAAGAGAGTGAGGAATAGACTGGCCTCCCAATAACCCCTTCAAGGACAACACCCTGCTGCCCCAGCTTCCTTCCCCTAGGCTACTCTTCTACCACCTCTCCAAGTTACCACTCTTGGCAATAAGCCTTCAGCACCCAGGACTTTGCAAGGCATTTAAGACCCAAGCTAAAGCACTACCACATCTCCTTCTGGCCATTTCTATCTTTTAAAATTTTATAAAATACTTCCTATAGGAATACAGATCAAGAACAGAAAGGTAGAAAGATAACCAAGAAAATAAAGGGCTGTGACAATGTCAAAGAAAAAATAACCAACAGTGTTGAATAAGAAGGAGGGCTTGAGCCGATGACCAGAGGCCACCGATGAGCTTTACTAAACAGAATGGGGAGGGCAGTCTGGCAGGCTGGACCAAGGACTCAATTTAAAATTTGAGCAATATTTGAGACAGGGGAGAACAGACCGATAGCTTCCAGGGGAAACAAGTTATTTGTTTTATCAAATTCCCTATAAAAGACAATACTGAGAAAATTTAAGGTAATGAATAGGAAACCCAGAGAATCATATGAAATTTCAGACATTCAACTATTTTTGACTTACAAAAACAGCAATTTCCTATGGTTTAAACTTGAACCTGAACATTACCAGACTTCTTCAAGGCAGTCACTCTCACTTAATGCAGCATGAACACAAACCTATAAAGGTGTCTATAAGTGTCAAAGCCTCTATATTTTGGATTTTTTCCTGAAAAAGGCAGAAGATATACAGATGTAGAGCTAATTCCAGGTCTGTGGCTTTTATAAGCCTAATTTCTTATTCCCAATCCCATGTACCAAATGCTAACAGAATAATCCATATGTGTCTAGAACAAAGCTCAGCTTCCTGCCCTGTGAATGGTTCCTCTACCCAACCTCCCTCCTGCTGTGACCTCCAGGCAGTCCTATCAGTCTCAGTTTGAATCCTATCAGTCTCAGTTTGAACAGCCTCCCCCAGCTTTCTGTTCCTATCCTTCTTACTCCAATCCAGCCCCACTCCACTCCTGCTTTGATCACTACTAGATTCTCGGAACTGGTCTTGCTGGGTCCGCTCTACTCCACGCACGACTATACTAATATCAGCATCCAAAAACCGCCATCCTCAAACACCATGCTTCTGCTTCTCCCATCATAACTTTTCAGTCTGAAATTCAGAGTATTTTAAAAGAATCCTAGCCTATCCAGCAAAGCAAACTGTTTCCCAAACCCTAAAATGTCAGCCACGCCAAGAGATCTTGACCACTGCAATGGTTTTAAAATATGTACATGGAAAAATAGATTAGAGGATGAAAGAGAATGATTAGCAGGAAGTCACTAGGACAAATCCAGGTATGAAGTACAAGATATCAAAGGCTGGAGCAAAGCCCCAGTGGCAGAGACAGAAAAGAGAGCAGATTTCAGCGATTCTTAAGAGGGAAGGTGGACAGAAGCTGTGGGTTGATTAGATCTGGGAGGAGGGCTAAAATGAAGAGAAAGGAGTCTATTATGTCTCTCAACTTTCTAGTCTAAGTGGCTGGGTGCTAATTCAATTAACCAAACCAAAAATGTGGTTTTGAAGACTAACTAAAGTTAGCAAGGCTCTCCTGCATGAGAGGGAAATAACTATGTAAGAGAACTGATTTCCAGTAGCCTGAAAAAGAGCTTTTGCCTCCACTGGATTGCAACTGAGAGAAAGAAAGAGAAACAGTACAGCCCAAGCTAGCACTGGGTCTTACAAACTTTATAAATGTTTTCTGAACTAGTCCAAAGTTACCAGCAGTTTATTCAGTGTATGAATAAGTAAGGAGACAAAGTTTTAGATTTTGAAATCACAGTAGCGAAGAAAACAATAAAAG